AACTGTGCTTCCAGTATACCTTTCATATGTTCCTGTTCAACGCATGCAAAAAATCTATTACTATTTTCTCATGCAGAACCTATGACTTCCTCTTCTTTACTTTGACCGTGCATTTATCACTTGTTAGATTGGTGTTTTCTGTGGTAGAGCACTTCAAAGCTGTCCTGTTTATACTATCATACTGCTAGACATAATGAAAACTGTAAGTTAAGTGTATTTATTGCACTAATAAGCCCAAGCTTTCAATGAAGTTTCTATTAAAACACTAAGAGAATGCCAGCAGTGACTGGTCTCAATTTCCAGGCTGAAACATTGCTAAAAGTACATCTGTTGACTTAAGCATAATTAACATGACTTCAGGCTGGTGTGAGAAGGCTGTTTCTCTGACACACAGAACTTGGAATGTAAGAGTTAATGACAAAACATGAAAGAAAGCACTTGTTCCTGATGATACCTCTGAACACAGAGCATCTATTCACTGCAAGCAGGTATTTAGAGACACTCACCTTGATACAAATTTCTGTCTGTATGCATGTATAAGAAGAATTCTGAATCACAGGTTGTCTGTCTTTTGAATACAAGAAAACCAAATTCTGTAGTCTTTTGACTGCCAGCACACTAGACATTAGAAATACACTAGAAAAAAAGATACTATTTTTATTTACATATTCGTTTTGCAGTGTCATTTGCCTGACTGCACTGTGTTCGTCTCAGATGTGACAATTATCTTGGCAATGATTTGTTAATGAATACTTTTAAAAATTATTAGGAGCCATATATGGAAGGGGTAAATCCATTCATCAAGAGCAACAAACATCGCATGATCATGTTCTTGGATGAGCTTGGGGTAAGTGGTTAAAAAAATATTTGCTGAAGTTACATAGCAGAATTGTAAATTAAAATTTTTTACACCTCTTATTAACTAGCTCAGTAATGCATCAGCTGCCACATAGTTTTGAATGCTTTTATCTATTTTTTAATACTTATTTAAAAATTGCTGGTCTGTCATATGGAATTAAAACCATCAATTATCTGTGCAAGATTTTATTAATTTAGTGCCTCTGTAAATGTGAGAAGCTGAAATTTCTGGTTTTTAAACCAGAAATTTTTATATATAACATGGTTTTAATCAGAGACTGAAAGTAATTTTTCTTTAAAAAATAGGTTGAATTTCAGTTAGCACTGGCAAAAGCTTCACTCCGTGCATTCTACATATTGTAGTTTAAAACTGAAATGCTGTCACTCTGTTCTTATGAAACGTGACTATTTTGTGGGTGTGATTTCTGTAACAGGAGTTAGGTTATGTTTTATATGTAAGTATTTAAAATGCAATAATTAATTTTAAAAAGTGAGATGAAAAAAAAATATGCTAAGCATCCTGATTTAATAATTTTAAGAAGTGTCCTAGAAGATATCTCAGAACACTTAAAAAAAAAAAGGTGGCATGTGGGTAGGTTTCAGATATCATCCTTTTGTGATTAAATCACAATTTCTGCATATTATGATACATCAGTTTTCTTTAAATGACAGATTTTACACGAGGTCTCTGATAACTGTTGGTTTGAAAATACCTGTTGGATTATTCTGCTGTTTTAATTGCAGTATTATTGGTTTATCATCAGTTTAATGAATTACTTGACAGATAACAGCAGATTTTGCTGAATTTTGTTGCTTTTCTCTCATTTAGATTTTAAAAAGCCCCAAATGGATGGATTTTCCCTTCATTTAGACGGTTTGGGTCTCAAAATGTAGGTTTCTGGTGAGCTCAAAGATAGAGCAACACCAGATCTCATAGTAAGAATTCTCCTAGCACTACAAATTGCAGTATCCTCACAAAACACATGCCTGTGAAGAGAAGAAAATAAACAGATAATAAATAATAGAAGGGTGGACTGGAGGTTTAGCTGGAAAGACCAAAGTTGGACTTGGCACCCTAAATCTGCTGTCTTCTACTTTGTTGAAGAATGTTCCTGAGCTTCCAGACACTGCAGAGCACTCTCGAACTGACCTCTCCCGTGACCTGGCAGCTTTGCATGAGATCTGTGTGGCACACTCAGATGAGCTCCGGACACTCAGCAATGAACGAGGGGTGATGCAGGTGAGTTAACAGAAATCGTAGGTCGTGGGTGCTGAGTCCTGAATTACTCCTCCATACTGATGGATTCTTTTGTGGTATTTCTGTTAGCAGTATGATGTTGTATTTCACCATGGGGTTATTAGCTGTGAAGGAAATACTTAATCCATAGTTTTGTTCTTCCATGCAACAAAACCTACTGGCTTTGGGTGTTTTATTTTATTAAAGTTTCTGGAGGAAGCCTTAAATCCACAAAATTACTGTCTCCTGACAGACTCTCTCGGTCTTAGTTTTCAGATCTGGATTTTTTTTTTTCAGTTGAGAACCAAATTCACTTTCTTTAGCTTTCTATTTATACCTCATTTCTGCTTACTAGTTTGCCAGTACACTTGTATGCTTGGAAAACTGCTGGCAGATTTTAATAGTGTGTTGTATTAGCTGTACACTTCCTCTGCCTTCCTGTTAACCACAAAGAAGCAAGAACATCCATGGGAGGACAGGCAAAGTCCCTAACATCGTTTAAAGACTACCCTTATTGGCTAGGGAATCAGACATTTTCTCTTTTTAGTAATATATTTAAACTTCAAGTCACAGGTCTGATAGACTGATGCTGAAAATGCTGCTCAGGCAGGCCTTTTCTGTCTTCAGTAGCTAACATGTAGTTTTACTGACTCACTCTTTTTTACAGCATGTTCTTAAGAAGCTTTTGGCCATTACGGAACTGCTACAACAAAAACAAAATCAGTATTCGGTGTCTAACAACATCAGGTAGCAGCTCTCTACCTGAATTCTGCATGGATTCAGCACGCCCAACATGGCAACTCTCACCAGTATCACTTCCTTCTTGCTCTTGCCAAAAACAGCACACCCTGTCACATTCCCAGTGATGTGTGAACTATGCAAAAAGAAAACAAAGATCCTGTTGGTGAATGATTGTACCAGCAGCTTTTTTTTAAGCTATCTGTGCAGGACATTTGCACTTTTTTTTTTTTCCACTTGGAAACAATGAAATTTCACAACCTCTGAGCCTTGGTGTACAGTTAACCTTCCGCAGAGAAAATGCTGTGACTGTGTCTAGGACTTTGAAATTTTCAGCACCTCTGATTGCCAAAGTTTTTGCTGTCTGATTGGGAAAGAATTATCAACTGACATGAGAAGAAAGATGTTGTTCTGACAACCACCTATAACTAACTGGATAACATTTCTTACTGTAATTTCTGACTGGTTACAATAATTATGACTTTTGACTGTTTCAGCCACTTTTAAGTTGTATTTACAGTTTCCAGAATTTGATGTTATGGTAGGAACCACCTTTACTGTACATGTTTTATACCATGCTGTTTCTCTTGCTGGAATGATGTTGAAAGAGAATATGCAGAATGGGTCTTGTCAGCTTTATTTTTTTGATGTGCCACTGATTCATCTGAATAGTTCTTCCATCAAGAACTGTATATCCAGATAAATCACAATGCTTTTGTAAAATGTTTACAACAGTAAATAATTTGAATTCAGTAAATTTATTGATCATTATATCAGACATGCATGCATTCATTAAACCATTTTATAAAATAGGTATCGTTTGGTCTTTTTTGTACTGTAAGTCTAGCATAAACATTTTTACAAGTGAAAAGTAAGTTTTTAAAATAAATCAAGCTGCCTATTTCTAACTCTATGAAAACTGGCTTCATGGCTACTGTGGAAATTTTTTAGTGTCGGCACTGGTAGTATACTTTGCAGTGTTTGCAATGTGTCACTTTTTGAGCATGAGTCCTCAGACAGCATTACCTTGTCCTAATGCCTTAATTTGTACATTTTTGGGTGAGAAAATATATGTTAAAACTCCCTGCATAGGTTGAGATTTAATAAAAAGAAATTCTTTCCTGTGAGTGGGCTGAGGCATTGGCAGAGTGCCAGAGAAGCCAGGGATGCCCCAGTCCACAGAAGTGTTGAAGGTGACATTGGACGAGGCTTGGAGCAACCTTGTCCAGTGTTCCTGCCCACCGCAGTGCCATAAACTGTTAAAAAAAATAAGAAGTAAAATGTGCTGTTGATTTAAAGGGTATTTCATCATCGCTGTGTGTTATGTTCTAGGCAGTGATATAATAATAGGGAATAAAAAGATTCACTGACAAGACCAATGAGATAACCACAATAATAATTTTAACATACAAACACTGTTGCAGATCTTTACAACACCTAGAGTGTTTTTCCTGTCTATCAGAACTGCCAAATTACTGTCACATAAAATCAGAAACTTTGCTTTTGCACCTTTGCTGGAATACTAAAGTGGCTCTTGCTGTGTTGCCCTGGTCTCCAGCTGGAACAGCTTCTTGAAGGTGAAAGCTTCCAGATATCATATGTATGGCACTGGGCAGACACATGTGATGTTCTTCCATAGTGAAAATACATGTGTTTGCAACACCTTGGTACTAGAGAAGTCTTTTTCTTAGATTGTTCCATAACCATGTCAAGTCTACGTTAAACTGCATCTCAGACAAGTAAGTAATTTATCTTTCAGTGTGTCCTACTTAAAACTTTAACAGAGTGTATAACAGGGATTCTTTTGTAGATTTGGTTGCTTTGGTACAGGCAATATAGCATGGTAAAAATACAAACTGGAAGACAGAGCTGCCTACCTAATTTACCTGTTACACACAAAATGCAGCAAAGACAATCAAACTGGGAAACACCCAAAGCTGCATGTACGTGTTTGTATTGTAGAACTCTAACTGGGTATGTGAAAAGGAAATAAATCAGCTGGTGCTCATAACACTACACTGCAGCCACAGCAAACTGTTTCTGAATCAAAAACAAGGGCCAGATTTTTTGAAGCTAATCTGACTACTGTTGGACCTGTAATAGATGAGGGTTTAATTGAACCACAACTTCTTCTTTTAGGAAAGCAAAAGGCTTTACTGCCAAGGTAAGAACTAACAGCACAAAGATCTTATGACACGTAATAAGGAACCTGTGGCAGGCAGTCACACCTGACACCAGAGGGTGGTAGGAGTCCATCTTCCTTCAAAGTAATGCTGAATCCACAAGATCATCATCAGTCCACTCTTCCTAATAGAAGGAAAAAACACAGCACCTTGAGCAACATTTGTGTGTGGTGGTGTGGTGCTTATGGGCTGGATTTAAGAACTTACTGAGAAATTCCATGAACAGAAGACTAAAAAATATTTTAACTTGGGGCAATTCAGGCCTTTAACCTTAAAACTAGCTATCCATACCTATGCTTACAGTCATGGACACAGAGTCATGTTGGACACTCTTTTCAGCACCTGAGATAAAGAAGCATGAGCTTCATGTTGGATAACTATGTAGAGATTTCCAAAATAGCTCATATTGCACCTTCTGCTGATGTCCTCTGCTTTTTACGGCTTTGTAGATTACAGTCTAATATCAGCTAACTACAGGATTAATGAAGCCATTGTTAAGATATGAGCAGTCTGCACACACTGTAAGTTTTTAAAAAGTTAAGCACACTTTAATGTCCTGGCCAGAGAAGATCTGCTCTTTCATGTGGCTATTACTCAGCAAAATATACACAAGTAGAAACCCAGTTCAGATGCATCACTAATGAAAAACTCTGAGTTTCAGGACCTTTGGAACTGTAAAAAAGTTGATCACGAAGTGCTATAGGCTATGTGAATATCCTATCAGGTTACTCCTTTAGGAAACAATTACAGATATAAATTAAAAAGAAGATCCAAAATCAAAATTGCCTCAGACCATAGCATAGTAACTAATACAAATTAAACTGGGGCAGGGAACAAGTGAAGCCTCCAAAGCTCATACGGAGCTGTTAGTTCTAAGTCATTCTGTCATAAAGTGAACAGTTTTCCAAGTGCCTGTTTTATGGAGTTGCCAGTTTTAGTATACTTTTCAAGACTGGCATTTGGAATGAAAACTTACTAAAAATTTTTGCAGCAATAAAATTATAAAGTAAGTTCAAGGTCCCGCATATACCTTCAATGCCAATTTTATTATAATCTTGTCTTAATAATGTTTTAGAGTCTAATTTTACACTATAGCATCAACCTACTATGATAATCTCTAATAGCAAGACACAAATCTTGTCTTTTATCTTCACAATTTGGTAGGTGACCCTCTTAAGATGTTAGCATGTTTTTCTAAATGCCATCCTGAGTGTGTCTACCAGTATCCAGCATCTTTAGTACCAAAATGAGTCCAATTAAAAAGGGTTCTACTCCACTGCCAGCATGGACTCTCTCCTACCCATTGTCCAAACAAAAGCTCTGGAAGGTGTTCATCTCAGATGTGAAGGACAGCGCTGTTTGTATTTGTTGAGTCACTCTTGTCAGTTTATCTCCACCTTAGTTATACTTGGTCTTTTAACGCAAAGTACTAGCAACCAATCTGTAATTCATGCAGCCTTGTTAACAAACTGTCTTGACATAAATTTAGCCCAACACTCTATACTGCTTTGAGCAAGAAACCAAATAAAGTAAATAAAAACTTCCAAAGCACAATAAACAGCAGGAAGCATGGTCTGCGTGTTCACTCCCCTTTCCACAAAAGACAGGGGTGTTCAAGAACACTTCAAGTGCAGTCAGGTATGAAATCTGGCTCATTTAAAGTGAAAAAAAAAGTTGAAAAAGATTCAGTCTGCACAACAAATAAAATTGTAATACAGATGCATAAATTTATCTCAGTAGCTGTGTCACTTTTGTCTTGGCATTAAGGGTGAAAAAAAACCAGGAAAAACTTGTATAATAAGTTTACTAACCTCATCCATTTTACTTTTCTTTGTGACATATTCATCATCTTCATAACCTTTCCTCTTCTTCCTAACCCAGAAGAAAAGTGAAATGCTTAGGTATTTTTATAAGTTAAGACTGTCATCATTTGACCCCAGGATTACAATATAGACATACCTGTTTCATAAAAAAAGAATACCAATACCTCAGCATGCATTTTGCTGGAAGTTCAGGGTGTAGTCCTTTCCATTAGCATAATTCTTAAGAAAACATTAAGCCTTTACAGCATTCTTGTTTTAATCACCTGATTTTAAAGCCCTTAGTTCTCATCACATAAAACATCAAGTGGTCACACCTTAGAAGCCACCCAGTATTCCAGTTTTGTTTTACAAAATAATCAGCTTGCCATGCAGATCTGCACATAAGAACCTGTTCATGTATTAGTGAAAACACTACTTTGAGTCTTTGACCTCAGCTTCCAGTAGATACAGCAAGCAGGCAAACACTCTGTGCACATTTAAGGGTTTTCATTTTCCATCACTCACACAGGTAAGAAAATATTAATGTTCTTATGCCAATAAAAAAGGCCAAAGTTTAACACATCCAAGATATACTTACGGGTTTGTATTAAATGAGAGGTCCAAGCTGTGACACTTCTCTAACTTCTGTTTTAGAGCAGCAACCTCTTCAGGCCTCGGCAGTTCATATTTTTTAATGAGATTTTTCATGCCTAAAATGGCAACAACACAGCTGTAAGCACACAGATAATTTCTGCTCTGCCTTGTTGTGTTGGGTCTGCATGGCAAGATGTTGGTAGTGGGGGGCCTATAGGAGTGGCTTCTGTGAGACACTGCTAGAGGCTCCCCCCATGCACAACAGAGGCAATGCCAGATGGTTCCAAGATGTATCCAGCACTGGCCAAGGCCAAACCTATTAAGTGATAGTGGATGTACATCTGTGAGAACACATTTAAAGGGCAAAATCCAAAAACTGATGCAACACTAATGGATGATGGAAAGAGGAATGAGAATATATGAGAACATCTACACCCTACATCTACCAGGGTCAGGGAGAAACATGAGGAAGGAAGTGCCCCAGGCACAGAAACAGATTCTCCTGGTGCAGACCATGGTGAAGCAGCTGTTTCCCTGCATGGAGGTCAGCAGGAGTGTGGAGTATGCAGCTGCACCTACAGCCTGTATAGGAGGCGACTTTGGAGCAGGTAGATATGCCTGAAGGAGGCTGTGACCCCTTGGGAATATCATGCTATGTACCATACCATGTAGGGAAGAGAAACCTACACTACAGAATGTTTGCTGGCAAGACTTGTGATCCCATGGGAGACTGGCACTGAAGCAGCCTATTTCTGAAGGGCTCTATCCTGTGTAATGTACCCACATTAGAGCAGTTAATGAAGAACTATGTTAATGTAGCATGTGAGAAGGACTCATGTTGTAAAAATTTGTAGATAATTGTCTCTGTGGGAGGGACTCCACACTGCAATGGGGGAAGAATGTGAGGAGGAAGGAGCAACAGAAACATGATACGCTGACTAGTCCCCCTGCACCGGAGGGAGAGAATTCATGAGTGAAATTGAATACAGGAAGAAGGGAGGGGTGGGGGAAAGGTCTTTTTAAGATTTGGTTTTCACTTCTCATTACCCTACTCTGATTTGATTGGTGATTAATTAATTTCCCCCAGTTGCGTCTGTTTTGCCCATGATAGTAACTGTAAGTGACCTCTCTCCCTGCTCTTATCATGAACTTGCTATTTTTTTTCTCTCCCCTGCCCAGCTAGGCAGGTCAGTGATAGGGTCTTTGGTGGTCACTTGGCAACTTTGGTGGTCACCTGGCATCAAGCTGGGGTCAACCCACCACACTTGTGAATCACACAACCCTATCCAGTCTCCAGTGTGGCTGAGTATTGCTTATGTCATAGTCAGGCTTGAGCCAAGAGGTCATCCTTCCTTTCCTCATTGTAACTACACTGAAACAAGTATCCAGCATCACCCACACTGGATTTCCTTAAGGCAGAGTTCACATTATTCTGCTAACAAGCTTCAAAATATACAGGTATTTTTTGCAATCAACACTGTACCTGCTGTCCTAAAAAAATACCAGTTGCAGTCTTTCTAATAATGCAAATTAAATTTACAAGTTTTTTTTTCTCTACCATCAGTACTCTGTAGAAGTAATTTACAAATGTTTGAAAAATTTCCTTCCAATCATCTTATGTTTACGGAAGAGCTACCTTTGGGCTAAAGCTACCACCACAAAAACTGAAGAGTAAGTGATCCCAGCATTCCCTTCCATCTCAGCAATGGAAGTTTAAAGACCTGATTTGTTAGAAGACCAGAAAGTAAAGGACATCTTAAATTTTATAAATTAAAGGTAAATTGAATTTGTAGACCCTGGTTACTTGTATGGTGCATTCACTGCTCATGTCAGCCAGCCTAGTTTCACTGCCACCACTCCCATTTGAAGTGCATGCATTAGCTTAATGCATTCAGTAACTGATTACCTACTGGGAATTTCATATAACAGCCTTTTCATTTAAATACAAAAAGGTAATAATCAGTGTACTACACTTCCTTTTACCATGGTAGCATTCTTATTTGTAAAATATACACGCACACACAAAGATATTTCACAAACTAGTGAACTAAGCATCTTCTGAAACATCTTATAGCTGCAAACCAGATGTGCAGTATAAATACTGGCACATCACATTAGTCCTTTATCTGGCAGTAGTAGTTATTACATGCAGGCTTTGCCTGAAACTGCAATGTTTAAGATACGGTGACTTAAAAAGCAATTTCGTTCTGTCCTACAGATACCATTATCTAGTTCTCAAAATAAATTTCTCACTTTTGAATCAGTTGCTAGCACTTAACTGACTCTAGCACTAATGTTTGAAAGCATCAGGCAGGTCCTCTGCCTGTTAATTTTTTTAATTTGTTCATATTAATTTGTTTAATTTATTTGTTCATTTTGTCGTTTTTCCTCTTCCATCCACATCCTGGGTAGCTCATTCTACTGTCTGCAGCTTACTTATGCATGCCTTAAGGTGAAGAGAATCATTTGAAGCAGATCCTTCTATCTAAAGCTTTTGTAATTTGGAAAAAGATGGTTTTTCCTCATTTTGAGATATTCTTTAACATAATTTTCCAATGTTTACTTACATTTCATTTCATCTAGTAATCTGGATAAGGTTGATCTGTCCTCTTTCAGCATAAGACTTTCTGATAAATAGCTGCAAAGAGACATTGAAGAATAAATTTTTTGAAGTGTCATAATAATTTATGGCAATCATTTGTAAGTCAGTAAAAAGTGTATTATTTTTAATTAACATCTCCCAGAGCTTTATAGTTAGATAAGTAAGAACGCTTTGTTTACTGAAGTGCTATAAAGTGATAAAAAAAGCTAATCTGTCACTAAGAAGGTAACAAAAATATTCCACCAGTCATGAAGAAATAATACTGCCAAATTAAGTATTTCTAAGCCTCAGAGAGCTAAGTCAAATTAAGTTTATGACTTTATGACAACATCATGCTATTGTACAAAATGCCCACAGGACAAGCAATTACTACAGTGGTTTTCAGACTGAGCAACAGCAGAGCATGCAAGACAGGCCTGCTTCTTTTGGCAGCTGAAAGCTGTTACTAAATGCTGTCTTCCATGAGCCTATGGGTCCCTTCCTCTTTCCAATGAGATCAAACTTCTCTTTAGTAAGAACACTAATGCAGACTGCCTGGATAAAACGGACATGAGCAATCGTCCTCACCAACACCCACAACAACCAAGGAGTTCTATCCCTTCCCCCATAAGAGCAACAGGTATTCCAATTCCCACGTGTTCTGTACCACCTCTAGAGCTGTACCTGACCACAGACCATCAGCTTCTCTCACATCTGGCAGCAAAAACTCACATCAAACAGTAAATGACAAGCTTATAACAACTGTATGGTGCAAACAGATAACAAAGACTTGAATTCTTCCTGAATGTGCCAACAAAGTTCAGACACCTTGAATCACACATTATCTACAAATTATTTTCGTCCTTTTTGCAAGCACAGTTTTCTGAATTTTTGTATGAGCAGTACAGAACACAGATCTAAGAATGAGATCAACTTTCAAGTTAAAGTAAGCACCTGAATGTTTTTACACAATTCTCAAAAGACAGTGAATCCTGTAAGGAATACTCTCAACACTCCTTATTTTAGAACTAGAGAGATTTGAGATACATTTAGAAAAGATAGAAGATTTTATTTTAAAAGAACGTTTTGGATTTAGAACAGGTGTTACACTCCAGATGCAAAATGCTCACAGGTAGTGGCATGATATTAAAACATGCCAGGTACATCTCATTACAGCAACTACTTCAGCTCATCTGAAAACTTTAAGAAAACTAAACCAAACTACACATTTCAGCAAAAGTATCAAAGTGTTTGACAGTACCCCTGCAAACAACAGGTTTGTGTCTGGCAAGGACACAAAAGGGAAAGAAAAGATTGATTTAAAGCAACACATTACCCCCTGGTGCATATCCGTGGAAACTGAACAGTTGCAGCAGCCAAACACAGCATGTTACAGCATGCCCATTAGCTGTCAGTTCAGTGTAATTTCAGTTGACTCTCAGTTTCTACCATATTTCCACTTTCTTCCCTGTGTAACCCTCAAACTGAGTCTGAAAATCCTATGCTATTCTAATTAACGCAAAGTCATCAGTTTTTTTTAACTTCTTCCAAAGGAATATAAAAACCAGACAGCAACTGACTGCTTTCATCACCTATTTGTGAAAATGAACAGTACCACTGCCATTCTAAAACATAAAGAACAGACAAGTGCTAGCAATCAGTAAATACACAATTCTAGTAGTTAAGAATGTCTAGAGCAGAACAATTTTACACAAGAAGCAAACAGATTGTTTAAATCACGCATATAAGAAAAAAAATACTACCTTTCCATATTAATTCCTGCTCTTGAGCCACTAGATAATATCGCAGTGAGAGCAATCTGTGAGGGAGTAAAGAGCAGATATGCATCTGTCAGAGCCACTCGGTTAAGGAAGTCATCAGCTGTTTTCCTTAAAACTTCAGGATTTTCCAGCACTGGATAGCGAGTCTAAAAAGTAATGATTTAGAAAAAAAGGCAGCTGTTTGTCATTCCTGTTCATAAGCTCACAACACACAATTCAACAGTATTTTATAAAGCAGAAAAGTAGCAGACAATATCTTTATCCCAAAAACATCCTAAATAACTTAAAGACCACAAGTAAAACAACTATCTTTCAGGTATCTATCACTATAAAAAATTAGATCTTTTAAATCACAGGCACAAAAGGAAATAAAGTTTTTCAAGACAATGCATGACAGACTTGTATTACTTTACTACACAGAGCATAACCATATCAGAGAATATTACCTTAATATCAATTAGAAATCCCTCAAATGGCCTGTATGGATTGTGGATGATGAGATGGAAGTTCAGTTGCTGAATAAGTAGCAGTTCATATTCCAGTATTTGTTCAAGAGCTTTTTCCTGTCCAAGAGGACTTTCTCGAAGGTTACCAACAAACTGTGCACTGGATACATTAAATTCATCTACTTTGCAGGCCAAAAATGTGCATGTTAGCCTTGAGGAGGGAAAAAACCAAAAAAGCAAACAATTGACATATGCAGCATCCATTCATCCATTTGTTCTGAATACAGCAAAAATACAGTGAAACTGACCATATTTTGTCTTTACTCCTACTTAAGATCTCAGATTTTCTTTCTTGTTTTTTTTTCAGGACTTTAAAAATATAAAGATCATACCTCTAATATTTCATTTGATAGAGTAACTCAAGAAGCGTTGATAACTCACATTATTATCCGAGGATGATGCTCCATCACTGAATTATTGAGGTAAAAACGTTTGAAATACATGCAAGCTGTTCCCTAAATTGAAAAAAATGGGGAGGGAAAAAAATAAAAATGGATTAAAAAAATAAATATAAATACATAAAAATTAAAAAAGCACCCACAAACCACGAAAGTTTGGATATATACTACAGACATGCAGGATACACTGAGCCACTAAGACACATACAGCCATTAAATGTCATTAAGTATTTCAAACTTCTGAAAAAGTTTGAAATACTTAATGACAGTGATTGATTTTTTGACAAAAATCAAAAAACTTGATTTTTTACATCAGTAAATTTTGCAGCATGTTTATCAGCATGAAAGCTGATGCTTTCCAAAACGAGACTCTGCAGGAGCTACTTCTCAAACATCAGTCTGGCTTCACAGAACACTGACTGCCATCTTTCAAAGGCACCCTCAAGCATGGTGCTCTTCAGCACACCTGCGTGGAAAAGGGAGGATTAACAGGGGACAATGTAAATCATACACCTTAATGTCTTAGTGAGAGAGAGAGAGACAATTTCACTCCATTCTTCAGCTCTACATCCCCACTTCTCCCTTCTGAAAGACGCTCTTTTGCATTCAAGACACATAAGTTCAAGGTAATTCTGCTTTTCCTTTGTAGGATAATATTTTGCCAGTATACAATCCAGCTTATCTTGTGGTCAGAGAAGCACAAATGCTGGAGAAACATCTGAAGGCGAACCCAAATTTCGGATCGTCTCCTTTAGCGACTGGGAGATTGTTTCAGTCACCCAAGCAAGTTTAAGAGCCACAAGCAAAAGATCACGTTGAAAAACATCAGATTCTGAAATGGCTACACGTGTCAGAAAACGAAATAAAAAAAACCAACAAAACAACCCAAAAAGCGGCCACATACTGTAGTGCTAGAAAAGAGAAAAGAGATAAAGAGATTTAAAGATATCCGCGCCCTCAAGAACAAGCCAAGCAGGCAGCAGGCGATGGAATAAGGAGGGCCGAGGCGGCGGCTCCTCCTCGCCTCGCTTACCACAACGGACCGCGGCATCGCGGGCTTGAATGCGGCGCAGAAATCCAGCAGCCTCTTCTCGTAGTACTTGCATAGCGCCAGCTCCTCGTGCGGCTCCAGCAGCACCGGGTCGCCCGGCGGCACCTTGGGGGAAGCAAAGCCGCACCTGAGTTCGCCGCAGTCTCACCCTGCCGCCCCGCGCCGCAACTCCTGTGTCCCCGCACACCTTCCCGCTGGCCGCTGCCCTGGCCCGGGCCCGGCGGTTCGCCTCAGCGCGGCGCCGCGCCAGTTCCTCCTCGCCATGGAAGGTCCAGTGCCGGCGCTGCGTGCTGCTGTGGAACATTGCCCAGCAACATGGCCGCATTCGCGCGCGGCACGCCGGGAGCCGTCCTAGCGCGTGAGGCGCGGCGGAGCGGACCCAGGACACTCCCTCCTGGGAGAGGGGTATTTCCGTTTCCTTTTCCAAACTTTTCCGTTTCAAGGAAGAGCTGTGGCAAAACAGTATGTCGTAAACTTTTGCAGAATAGCAGCACTCTTGTGTTTCTCTTTCGGTTTTATTCATATATACTTTCAAATTTGCATTGCACTTGTGCAGCCTTACGTTGAGTGCTGGGGACAGTTTTGGGCACCGCAATGTAAGACATTAAGCTATTGTAGGCATGCAAAGGAAGGCAATCAGGATGCTGAGGGCCTGGAGCAGAAGCCATATGAGGAGTAGCTGAGGTCACTTGGAATGTTTCAGCCTGGAAGAGACTGAGGGGAGACCTCATCATTGCAGCCTACAACTTCCTTGTAGGGAAGAGGAGGGGTAGATACTGATCTCTTCTCTGTGGTGACCAGTGACAGGACTTGAGTAAATACCATGAAGTTAAGTCATTGGAGGTTTAGGTTGGATATCAGGAAAAAATTTTTGGCCCACAGGGTAATCGAGCACTGAAACAAACTCCCCAGGGAAGTGGTCACATCACTCAGTCTGATGGATTTGAGAAGTGTTTGGACAATGCTCTCAGGCACATGGTGTGATTTTTGGAGTGTCCTGTGCAGGCCCAGGAACTGAACTTTATGATTGTGGTGGATCTCTGCCAATATTCTGAATATTCTCTGGTTCTGCTCCCTTAAGTTCCTTCAGTAGTCTCCTGCTTTCCGCAGATAACCACTAGGTATAAAATCCAATTATGCTTTTAAGGAAGCAGCATTTCATAACCTCCATGCTTCAGCCAGAAATTTTAGATATTACTGTGTAGTATCTAATATTTGTGTTTGAAGTATATGCGGAAAGGATGTAGAACATACTTTTGTGGACAGTCACAGGCCTTGTAGTTAAAAGTGTTACCCAACAAGTTGTGTTCTTTTAAAGGAGTTTATGCAGCAGTGGGGGAAAATTCTTTTAACCTTAGCACAATAGCGTTTGATCCCTATCTAGGATTAATGCTTTGTTTTGTATCATGCAGTGCTTACTACAAACACTAGGGATAAATGTGGCTTTGTTTTAACTCTCTACATCTGTGACTAATAAGCCTTGTGCCAACTAGTGTGGGAAATGACATAACTTTACTCATAATTTTTAAAATTAATTATTTTAATTATCTCTTCTAATTAATGGTTTTAATTATTTTGAGGCAATGTAATTTTACACTTTGTCATCTGCCATTAGAGCCAGCATTTAGCAAGGTTATGATAAGCCAGTATTGTGGGAACATGGTTTGGGAAAATTACTGAAACTTAAAATTTCGCTGAAACAAGTGTAATCAACACTGATCTAATTCAATTATCTCAGATCTAGAAGGATGTTAACAAAGCCTTGCAGACACATCTATTTTTGAAAGTGGACACAAGTAATGCAAAATTCATGAACCGCAAGGACATTTTGCAGAAACTTAAGATAAGGAAGAAAATAACCAAGTCAGTTCAGCAGTTGTACTGGATGTGCTGTTTGGGAAAAAGATAATAAAAAGACTGAAGAACTGGGCTAATTAGCATGAGAAGTGAGAAAACAAACAGGAAATAGAATACTAATCAATGAAGAGAAATATGGAACTTACAGCAAATGAACATTAATTTCTTTATTTGCTACAGTGTATATATAGTGAGAAATTTTGAAAGTGGATGTGTGTATTAGGTGAAGCTATCACCATGCACCCAACATATTGAAGAAATATCAGCTTTCTAACATAACAAGACATAACAAACTGATTAGAGAGTTTCTTTCCTGGTTTTTAGTGACAAAGTGGTTCCTTGCAAGCCGACATGACAAAGGTCCTTTCCCTAAACTACACAAGAAATAATTATCTATATAGTCTGAATCCATCAATACTTTGCCTTAAATTACAGTAATCAGCACATCCAACATATATACAGTTTCAAATCTGGCCAAATCTGAGTTCCAAGAGCCATATGTACAAAAATACCAAAAGGGTGTTGTTGTGCATCTGATTGTGACAGTTCCGTCCCAAATTAGGGACTCCTAAATAGTGCACATTATTATAACAATTGGTTTACTGAGTATTATTGTAAATATGTTATTTGACAACATCACTCTAAGAGTAAAATGTAAGAATAGGAATGAAAATTTCTAAAAAGAGCAGTGCAGAGAATAAAGCAGATTTTTTTTCATTTTTTTATGATTCCATTTCTTTTATACCTTTCACTTTTCAGAATCTGTACTTCAAAGGTGTTTGGGTTTAAGGATACCAAACAACTGCGGACTTCACTGATTGTAGTTCTTCCTTAACTTTAAATGGTATGATGAATTTTTAGTGATTCCAGAATTCAGTCTGAAAGTGGACAAAGGTAGATTTAGATAAAATATCTGGAAATGTAATCATAAAATACTCAGAAAAACCTTCGTGTGCTTGCTCTGTGAGCAAGCTATGAACAGAACCAAGAATTTACTGTTTCTAGTTCTCTATTGTTTCTTTTCACAGTAATGCTTTTCACAACATCTTTACCCACAAGGCAATTTTGATATATTATCTTGTAGCCAAAGAGGTTAATTAAAAGAAGAAATACTGCAATGTGATTTTTGTGCAAGTAATAAGGTTTACAAAGAATGGCATAGAATGCACTAATAAAGTGCAGAGTGAGTATAAAATGTTTTACTACATTCAAAAAGATAATTACAAGAACTGAAAGTTTTTTGGAAAGTGGAGCTGTATGAGTTATAAATCAGTTGCTCAAGTCAGTCAAATTTAAATGTTTGATGTCTGTCTTTTATGCTGGTTTTAAACATGTTATATGCAGAGATATTTGTTCAGAATTATGCAAGTAGCAAGGTAACCAAGCAAAACAACTTATAAGCTAATAAAAGCTCTCCAATAGCCTAGGTATTTCAGCGTGTTCAGCAATTTCTCAGAAAAATTGCCCAAAGGTGTAAATAAGTACCTACCACCGAAATGCGGAACACATTTTCCTGCTTGTATCAACAAATACCACAGAGGTATTCCTCTTGATGTTTTTTATGACAGCCATGGCTGCTGTAAGTGTTCTTTATTTTTCTGTTTGGGGCATATAGGGAATCAGAATCTCTTGGAGGCTATAGAGAGGACCAAAAAGAACCAAGAGGCAGAACACACATTATCTAAGAAGGGGAAGATACCTGAAACACAGAGGCTTAGTCTGTATAGTTTACTGTTGAAAATAAACATTCATAAAACCATTCAACTTTGATGCTGGTAGTGTCTTCTTAGAATAATATGTGAGGAAGGGGATTCTGAACACAAGCGTACAGCTCTTCAGCTAAGTTATAATTAATACAAATAAATTAACATAATAGATTTCCTGCTTTTTATTACCTTTTACTATCATTATTATTAAGCCTAACTGCAGATGTTTAGTAGCCTAAAACATTCAAAGAAAGGGTTAACCTTGCTGATGCTACTGGGGAGAATAAAAAGCTTTAGAGGTGAAAACACATTGATTTATTCTCATATGATTTTAATATTTGCTATATTTCATGCTGCTGAGAATTTATGAGTTGAACTAAATTTAAAACATAGTTTTAATTGCTATGTTTTAGTTCTCACTTTTTGAATATACTTATATCACAGGGACTTCTTGATTTTGCGGTGTTTGGCTATCAATTGTCCTAGCGCAGAAGCTAATTAAAATCAGATTACCTTTCTTGCTTTGCTAAGTAGTATTTTACTTTTATTTGATCTCACTGATAACAGTGAGATTATTTCATTGAAGATGCATTATTCTATATTCTTAAAGTGTCCTTGTCATTCAAAGCATTACAAAGTATGCATATATAGCTATAACTCTTTATATTGAATATGCAGTTCAGGGACATAAGCTTTAAAATCCTCAGCAGAAACACAGACTTTAAATAAGCAAAAAAGGATGAGAAACAACAGTTTGGAAGTCATGACCTTTGGATTTTTAATAATTTGCATTTGATAATTTACAACTTCAGAAATACATTAAGTGTACAGTCTCAAATCACAGATCATACTAGCAAAACTGAAATATGATGAAGTAGAAATGTTTGTTTGTTCTTAAATTTGGAGCATTCAATTCATTCAGCAGGGAGGGCTGGATTCCTATGGAGCAATCAGAATTGAATATTCCTTTTGAGACCATGCAATACATCTGTTGGTGTCAGCACAAGATTTGCCTAAAGCCTAAGAGCCAAAGCTGGTTTTTGTGGAAAAGAGTGGTTATTTTTGCCATTTTTCACTGATGTGTCTTCAGTCATCCATAGAGAAAGTTCTGTTGCTTCTGTCCCTTGTTTCTTATTTTTCCTTCTCTGTTTCTCCCATACTGTCTTTATCCTGGTATTCTTGACATTTGTTTTTAATTTCTTCACAACTGCATTTTTCCCACACACTTCACTCCCAGTGTGTCATCTTATAAGAATATAATGTAATTATTGATACTGATGCTAAAAAGTCATCACTGGATTTCTGGATGGGTTAAGAAACTGAGAACTCCCTGGAGTAAAGAACGTGGACTTCTGAGTCACTCATGCAATTGTATTCATATTCACAAAGTGCAGTTTGCAAAGTGGCATGTTTGCAAAGATTTCTTTGGAACTCAGTGTCCCTGAAATGTTCTTTCAAAGTGAGAGCCATCCCTTTAGCAGCACGGCACACTCTTTCCCTCCCTCCCTCATTGCCACTACTTAAACCAGGCCACAAACCACGAACCCAATACATAAGCATACTTCCAATACAAAATAAGCAGATTAATTAGAACTATCTCCTCCTTGAGCACCTGGATGCAGGGTCTCTCAGCTTAAGCACACCATGAGAGCAGCTCTCTGAGGGATATGGGTGGCCCAGACAACTGTCACCTGGCAGAAATTAGATGCTAAAAAAAACCCCAAAAAACAAAAACCAAAACAAAACAAAACAAAAAAAAACCCACCCCAAAAAACCCCAAAG